AAACTGCTTCATTAAGCTAAAGTTGTTCAGGTGACTATAGTGTCCCTTTAATATCCTGGGAAGTGACTGTACATCTTTAATTAACTATTTTTCCCATGAACCTTCAAAAACACAATATGCAGTGATGAAGATGGAGATTGAGTATTTGAGGATCTTTGAGATAAAGGGATCAAGTATGAGTTTATCACAGGGGTCAAGTTCTCTAGTGACTTTATTTCTGGTCTAGCTCGCTGTTCTGCTCTGTAAAAGGGCAGCGATTAAAATATTTGTATCCTGTTCTCAGTTTGTTAAACTTACTAAATCCTGTTTCTCAAAGGTTTGTTTGTTTTTTACTTAGTAAATTCATGACTGAATTATCCTGTAGCTATATAGAGACCCTACACACACCAAAAGAACAATGTAAAATGGCTTGTCCTCTGGCTAGATCTTACTCCAGTCCTGAATCAAATCATTATACTTTCTGTGTGTATGTATCATGAAACTATATCCTCCAGGAGCTATAAACATTACTTCGTGCCATGGGAATTTAGATGTCGGTGGATCGTGACCGTATAAACTGATTTTGTCTTTCTGCAAAAAAAAACGTTCACCTTCTGTTGCCTAAGAGTGCAGTCACCTACAGGGATGGAGCATTTGGCCAACTATGTTACCATGATAATAGTCATTTTACATCAATAGCAAGATGGATTGAATTGAAACCCACAATCTATACAATCATTCTACTTTCAATACAAAGACACATTAACAGGATACGTCGATTTCCTTTAATGTTTTATCTATCCAATAGGATAGAGTTTAGTTTTACATCACTGTCCCTTTAAGCACAGTGCAATTGTCTGAAAAGGAGATAAGTTAACATTTATATCATTCTTAGAATCATACAGAGCATGCACTATAATAATGTAATAATTACTGGAATTTTAGATCCCTGACAGCAGATAAATGAGATCAATATCTACTCACAGCTTAGTAAATACACCCCAACATTTCAAAGGTTGATATAATTCTAGTTACCATAACAACTGCACAGTCACTGTGAATGGCAACATTAACTTCTCATTGCCCATCCTCTACAATTACAAACCAACCGCATCCATTATCACACCATACATGTAACATTAGTATCTTTTAAAAAATACTCATCATGTAGCCACAATTAATCACCTTCCCCCGTACAATAAAATCAATCCTAGCTTTTAACTCATCTCTGATTCATTATTGACAAACATCTAGCATTACACATATTATATCACACATGCAATAAAATAAAGTAATTCATATGAAACATAGTGTATCAAAAAAATAAAATATATCCATGTCACCGTCATACACAATAGCACTGAGATTGCACACAGTATAATACGTAAAATGCATATAATATAGCCAAGCCATTCATATAACATATACAATATTTCAGATCATCCAGCCATCTGTCCTTGAGAGCTCGAGCTCTGAATAATGACATTTAAGTAAGGCAGCCTCAGCGGTGGAAAATGGTGAATAAAGTCTTTATTGTATTAATCTTATGGGACACACGAAGGGACATAAATAACTATGGACAGGGACACTTAAGTGTTGGAAACACAGGTTTGTGTCTTTTAGTCTTCCTTCTATAAGCTGTACAGCTTTTCAACACTTTTAAAGCGACCCTGTCTCTAAAATTCGCACACACAGTAAACACAGTTGCTTTGCTAAGGACAGATGTGTATTGTGAGGACATTAAAAGCTATTGTGAGGACATTAAAAGCTGTTGGGTCCAGCACAAATTGGCTCATATGTGCCCAAAGCCTTTAACAACTTGTCCCCTGAAGCCAAGGTGAAGAATTTGTTTCCTGGCTTGGAGAGGTCAAATTTCCATAGCCAAATAGCCAGTGACCCTTTAAGCTTTGAAACTTAAAAAGTAAAGGGTTATTCACCCATCCTAAAAGGGCTGCAATAGTTGGGCCCTGACAAAATTCTATTACACTCTAGTGCTCAGATTAGCATTGCACGCAATGCATCCTCATGCCATACAAATTGTTTGGACAGAAGAGGTGAACACGAAACTTCCTCGCTAGGACATTACTGGTGAGGGGGTGAGAAACTGCACCCAAAGCAACATCAATAAGCTGATGTGGTTATAGTGCTTTGAGAGACTGAAAAAATCTGAGGATACATTTGAATACACAAGTGTATAGTTCGTATTAAGGATGAGATTCAATAACCTCTACCATTACAACACAATCTGCGATAAAATATACTAAGCGTAATTAAAAAGCACATTCCAAATCTAAATCTTTGAAGTGATAAGTTCTATTTTTACTGGTTGTCAAGCACCCATTTGCTTTAACCTTGGTGTTTGACAATTTTGAGGATTGTAAACCTCGCAATAAAATGCGCATGTCGATTCAAACACAGACAGGTCTGTGAACACACACATGTACACAAACATACACTAACATAGAAAAAGACAAACACATACAAGTTTGCAAACACAAATCCAATCCTATACACACAAACAATTAAAGAAACACACAACTACAAGACTACAATGGATTTCACGCAAGATTCGTGTATTGGAATAAACATACCAGCAATAGATAATAAATTACACATATATAACGCTACATTCATGTTGATGATCTATATGAATGACAGGAGCTAATTTAGTACATTTCACCAGACAGATTATAAAGTAACATGGTGCGTTTCGACCCAGGTAAATATTTTATGCCATTGTGTGGAATAGAAGGAGCGAGAAGAAGGGGGGGAATCTATATGCCCCCTCCAATTAATCACCTCCCCCCTATACAATAAAATCAATCCTAGCTTATAACGCAATTCCTGACACCATCAGCCAGCCAAGTGCTGACTCAGGGACAGTTGTTACCTGACCGCAGGTGATATACTGTTAATACATTAAAGGACTGTAATCAGAAGATAAGAAGATTTCCGATTACTATGACATTTTAAAAGGTTCTTGGAATCTTGGCGGTAGGGGGCAATTCCACACATGACTTACCGTTTACTACCTGCAGAGACAGCAAGAAGAGTCCGCAGATAACGTAACGGAATAGGGACCCCATTTCTGGGTCCTTTCAGACAGCTTCTCTGTTTTGATAGTGACACCTGCTCTCTATGTTTCTGAGGAGAAGGTCTGGTCTCCTCTTCCTGCTTTTATAATTTACTGATAACACAGAAGTCATAAATCGTGTTATCATCTTCACCTTTGAGAGTTCAGTCCCCAGGCCTAATATACAATAAAAATCTGTAATGAGCATAAACATTTCAATGTCACGTTGGTGAAATGTCATCTGACAAGATCTGTCCCCCTAGATGGAGTGTCATCATGTTTCAGAACCAACGTTCGTTAGCTGCGAGACAGAACCGCTGAACGGGAGACCTTACAGATTCATTTAATGCGACAAACAGCAAGTGACAGATAACTTTCATCAACAACTGATTTACAGCCTTTAATTACACACCCAAGCTCCGGTTTATTCACTGAAGTGTGAATTATTGTAGATTTAAAGTGAATTTAACATCTCAGGCCACAAAAGTCAATTTGGAAAAAATATCCAATCAGCTATATTTCCAGTTTGGCTATTTTGGAAAAAAAATTTGGAAAAAACTTTTATTTCCTGAAAATTCACAGTAATGAATAATAGCCTGTTTCTATGATGTTAGAGAGTGAGGGAATGTAGGAATATGCTGTGACGTTAGACGGTAAAGTCGACCGAAATGCTTTGCAAACTTGTTTTAAAAGGACACAAACTGTGTACAGGACATTTGATGGATGTTCCGTCCCAAAACTCTTTTATTAGACTCTGCATTTCCAGAACGATTTCCGTTACCCTATAGAAGGAATAGTGCTACATTCATGAACAATTAATAGAGCTCTTGTTAGGCGGATATTCTGATTCCAACCAATGGGGATATATTAAAGGAATACTCCGAGCATCATAACCAGTAAAGCAACCTCAAATGTAAGTAGACAAATCATTTGCAAATGGTTTCACAACTTACTTGGGGCTGCCAAATGTCAGTCACTTCCTCCTTTAAGAGCCAAAAACTCTCTGCTCCAAGGTAGCCTGGAGGTGCAGAGCTTAGCTCACAGCGTGTTGTAGTGGCTATGGTGATTGGGGTGTTCCTATAAAAAAAGGCATTGGAGTGCAGTTTTGAGACCTGACCCAGTAATTAAGGATCACGGGATCATCAGACTGACCTAGCGCCTCCCCTGTGGCAAGTACATCGGGGGTCCTGGTTTAGTGAGTTATACATTAGATGTAACCAGTAAAGCACTCTTGCTGGAAATCTGTTTGTAATTTAATGAAGGCGGTACTAGGCAGCAATTCACTCCTAACGGTTAATATAACACATTTCTAAGCCCTAAATCCTCATCAGACAAATACATGCTGCCTAGCATTAACCCTTTCAGTGCTGCACAACCATAAACAGGAGCACTCCCCCCATTCAGAAACGATCAGTGGTTATAAATCATTCTTTATACATTGTTCCGATTATGCAGAGATATAAAAAGGTAGTCACTGCCTATTAACCATAACTTCTGGCTCCTCATTCCGCTGCAACAAATCACCAGGGGGAACTTTGGTGGAAACCTTCACCTTCATCGTGACCTTGGCAGCAGCGCTGGGCAATATAACAATATATTTCATGCCAAACAAAGCAAACCACAACTAATTGTACAAATGCACGTTATAAAGCGCATCATTAACCATTAACAATAACAGATCAATAAGCAGGACATGTTCCTCTAGCGCAATACATTTCACTTTGTGTTTCTGGGTAATAAAACACTGAAGAACAATGGTCTTTGTATGAATCATCGAGGAAAGAGTTAAATCCTGTATGTTTGGAAGCATGCAGTTCAAGAAATGATGTTACTTGGATTTACGTGGCATCAGTTTGCTTTTTTATTTTGGTCTGATTTACTTTATGGTTTATTCACTAAACAGTAAACACTCTGGCAATTAATAAAAGTTTAAATGTTTCAATTTAGGTTAAAATAACAGATTTGATAAAATGTCTTCAATACGGGGGGCGGGGCCTGGATGCCGAGCTGACAAGTCGTGCATCGCATGAGCTCCACAAACTGGGCCAGAAATCCGACGATAAAGCCGGGCAGCTTGCCCATCTGAACCAGTGCCGAAGTTGTCAGAGTAAAGGGAACAACGGCGCAACCAGCGACACCAAACTGTGTCACCTCTACTACCGAAACGCCGACACTGAGGCTTGCGGCCTACACAAGCGTGGGCTCTGGAGAGATGGCCGCTCTCCAAGTCCTTCATCTGGCAGAGTGTATCCGGCGACAGGGTTCCCCCTTCCCCCTCTGTACCGGTGGGGGTCATCACGGTCTCCCTTGCCACACTCCCCCAGACCCAGCTAGCAGACCGCTGCTGACCTGCTACGAACTTGAGCTAACGCAAGCACGGCCAAGATGGCGACCGCGCTCGACTTCACATAGCCTAACAAACTGCTCCCGGCGAGTCCTATGTCAGACCCCATCGAGCTCCCACGCTTGACTCCTGCCTTGTGGTGCCCCCCGATAGCCTCCATGCATCTCCCAATCGGGGAATAGGCTGAAGATGAACTCTCTGAACGGGGTTAACCCCTATCCCGCAATTGAACTATCTGCTGCTGCAACATAAGGGGTTACTAATGTTCACTCTTTACATGCTTAATCGTTTTATGTTTACTCAATTTATAGCAAAAAATACCACACCACCCATATAACCCTATCTCCACTGAGTCAGGAAATCTTGCGCCTGCACGGGCAGTGTAGCTAAGATGTTTGGGAGTGTGGCCCTGGGGATTACTCCCTACTACTGTCTTCACACAGTCAGGCATATTTTAGAATTTAATAGGTTTGGGACCGACTTGTATAATTTAAGGCATATTACTGACTACTCAAACGTCAATATAGGAGCCAGCTCCTTTGCCTAAGCAGGATTTTATTAAACAGCTCCTCACATCTTAGTACAGCTAAACGCCTGCAACCCAAACAAACCAGCCTGGACTGACACTAGACTGTCTCAAACCTTGTACATCACTGTTATGACATATCTTGCCTTACTCATGTTCCTATCTTGTTTTAATATTTCTCTAAAAAAACGTGTTGAAATCGCAGATAGCATAGGATGTACCTATTTGACGGATATATGTTGACCTGCTATATGTTATTGCAAGTTATAGACAACTACCGGATGTCTGTTGTGGCCACACGGGATGTATTGTACCCTACCATGCACGAAAAAAATAAACAATAAAAAAAAATATGTCTTCAATACATCTATAGCTACATCTTGGCTGTTTTAAACTGAAATGTACTATTTTGGTCTTCAGTTCCACGCAATGCCGTGTTTAGCAAATAAATTCCTTCGATTTAGCAATCATGACATAAATCCCCAAGGAACTACCAGGAAAGTAATTATTTCACAGGTTCGTACCCAGAATCCACTGGTGACTGCACACTAAAACCAGCTCTCTAACTAAACCAACTAACCAGTACAATCAGACTGATTCTTCAGAGTATAAAAGAAACGTCTTAAAACATATTTGAACGGCCTTGGTTCCTCCCCCCCCCCCCTCCCGTCTCCAGCAGTGAGATGTGGTAAACTGGAGATAAGCTGGAGATCAAAATTCATGATTTGGAAATATGACTAAAAACTAATTTTGAATTTGCCATATTTGCCCTAAATTTAGCAAGTCAACCACTCAATGCTGTGTATAAAGAGTTATTATAGGCAGGGCCGGATTAAGAGCTCACTGGGCCTGGTGCTGACAAATATGATGGGCCTAATTACGGAATCTTATCAACCAAAAACACTAAACCAGTCATACCTCCCAAGTGTCATGTATCTGATGGAGATGGTGCTGGAGGGAAACTCAAAGGATGCAGCTATAAGAAAACACATACTCTATGCTAATCTCTCTCTAATTTATGCTTTCATCTTTCAAGTAAATCCATACCCCCTAACAGCAGTGTCCAGCGAAGCAGGAAGTCAATGGGCGGGGTAAAAGAGTGTGCCACTGACGCGAATCACGTGACCAGACTTGCCAAAAGGGGAGAACATGCCCAAAAAGGGGGCATATCTGTCCAAAGAATTTGAAGGACAACCTGGCATGAATGCATGTCAGGCTGCCCGCCAATCCTGCAGGCTGTCCAACTAAGGGCATACTATCAGGCTGCACCATGAGCTTGACATAAATGCATCTAATGATGCACTCACTCCGTGCTTTCTAAGGACTGTCCCCTATCACTCGCTGGTCCACTTGTCACCTTGCCTTCTTACTAGCAGACAGAAGCTCCTGGTATATAGTCTGAGACAGAGAAAAGGTGTATGTAGTGAGTGTAGAAGAAAGGGGACATGCCACAGTTTTAGAGAGATCAGCGTCTGCATTACCTAAACTAATTTTATTGTCAGCTAGTCCATACAAGTTTTGTTCCCATACATCCCTCTTAAGATTCCAAACTTAAAGGGACACTATAGTCACCAGAACAACTACAGCTTATTGTATTTGTTCTGATAAGTAGAATCATTCCATTTAGGCCTTTTCCAGTAAACACTGTCTTTTCAGAGAAAATAACTCCACTGGCCACTCCTTAGATGGCTGCTAGAGGTGCTTCCTGGGGCAGTACTGCCTAGTGTGCAGCACTGCCATTCAGTGTCTCCACCCTCTGCATGCAGACACTGAACTTTCCTCATAGAGATGCATTGATTCAATTTATCTTTATGAGAAGATGCTGATTGGCCAGGGCTATGTTGGACTTGTGCTGGCTCTGCCCCTGATCTGCCTAGTTGACAGTCTCAGCCAATCCTATGGGGAAGTTTTGTAATTTGCTCAGACTCCACTTCTGATGATGTCAGCAGACAGTCAATTCAGAGGCAGAGCCAGCAGCTGCAGACTTGAATACAAGTTATATTTTACTATACTTAGGGAGGCAAGAAGGGGCCAGGGTGGTGGTTTTAGCATAATAGGGTCAGAAATACATGATTGTGTTCCTGACCCTATAGTGCTCCTTTAAGCAAGAGTTTGTGAAGAGTAGTTAGGGTTGCCACCTTTCTTGGAAAAAATACCAGCCTTAATCATTTGTATAATCACAAAGAGTGACATCAGAGAAAATTCTGTAAAATCCCCAACAAACTACTCACAGTTTGATTCTGCTGTATAGATGGATTGCTCCCAGTGTCTCAGTCTCGCAAGTCACCCAGTGTCTCAGTGTCCTTATGTATCACAGTGTCAGTGTCCCCATGTCGCCCAGTCTCCTAGTCTCCCAGTGTCTTAGTGTCCTCATTTCTCCCAGTGTCCCAATGTCTCAGTGTGTCCCCATGTCACTAGGATACTGGGGATACAGTGAGACATTGAGAGACATGGGGACACTGAGAGACATGGGGACACAGAGACATGGGGACACTGATACATTTAGGGAAACTGGGAGAAATGGGGACACTGAGACACTAGGAGACATGGGGACACTGAAACATTTGGGGACACTAAGACACTAGGGACACAAAGACATGGGAACACAGACACTGGGAGACTAGGGGACAGGGGGACACTGGCTGGGAGACAGACACTTGGGAAGACTGGGAGACATGGGGACAGTTGTGGACATAGACATGGGGACACTGGGACATATAGGGACACTGGGAGACCTGGGGACACTAGGCACACTGAGACACTAGGAACACAGACACTGGGATACATGGGGACACAAACATTTAGGGGACACTAAGACACTAGGGACACAGAGACATGGGGACACTGGGAGACTATGGGACACAGAAACTGGGAGACTTGGGGACAGTTGTGGACATAGACATGGGGACACTGGGACATATAGGGACACTAGGCCCACTGAGAGACATGGGACACAGACACTGGGAGACATAGGGACACTGAGACACTATCGACACTGAATGGGGGACATGGGGAAACTGGGAGAAATGGGGACATAGTGTCTCCATGTCCCAATGTCTCAGTGTCTCCCAATGTCACTATGTCTCACAGCATCCCCATGTGTCTCAGCATCCCCATGTGTCTCAGCGTCCCCATGTGTCCCCTAGTGTCCCAGTGTCCCCTAGTGTCTCAGTGTCCCCATGTTTTCCAGTGTCCCCAAGTGTCTCAGTGTTTCCAGGTCTCCCAGTCTCTGTGTCCCCATGTGTCCTAGTGTCCCCTAGTGTCTGTGTCCCCATGTGTCCCCTAGTGTCTCAGTGTCCCCATATGTCCCCTAGTGTCTCAGTGTCCCCTAGTGTCTCAGTGTCCACATGTGTCCCCTAGTGTCTCAGTGTCCCCATGTCTCCCTGCTGCCTTTCCCCCCATCCCGCCTTTCCCCCCATCCCTCACCTAAGCTGTAGAGCTGCTGTATGGACTCTGTGCTGTGTTGCTGCTCCCCCACGGATCAGTAAGTAGTAGAGAGAGGCAGGGATATGCTGTAACTTCCTATCCCTGCCTCTTTCCACACACAGTGACCCCTACTGGCCGGTGCTGGTATTGCAGAGTAATCTCCATTTATTCTGAGAAAAATACATGCATTTGTATTGCCGGTATTACTGTGATACCGACACGGCCAGGCAGCCTCAAATACCGGCTGTGACAGTAAAATACCAGTCAGGTGGCAAACCTAAGAGTAGTGTGTAAAAAAAAAAAAAAATTTTTTTTTTTTTTTTTTTTAAATGGGCCTATTCCATGGGCCTGGGCCTGGAGCTGCAGCTCCATCAGCCCCTATGTTAATCCGGCCCTGATTATAGGTATAGAGTTATTATAGGCCAGAGTTCTGAACATAGGGCGTTCAACAGGAACAATCCATTGGTTTCCACATTTAGAATGTTGCCCCAGAATGGCGTATTCTCAATAGAATAAAATCTCACACGATAACTTTGCAGTTTGATGTTATTTGATTTCTAGAGAGAAACCAGAAATGCCCGGATGAGGAGTCTGAAGATGACTGCCAATTGTTCCAGAAATTATATATATTTTGCAAACCTCTGGAACTATTCATAATTCATAGTTTTACTACAGTTTTAGTTTGCACTGTTAGAACTGTTATTTTGATGATGAAATTAACAATAAATAAAGCTTTTGTATTATTTTTGTATTAACTGTATAGATAACATACATGCGCATGACAATGAACAGATTGTCACAACTTATCTCAATGTACAGTAATTCATTACCCAATCAGATAGTTCGACTTTCTTTCGTGCACTTTGATTGCGTTTCATGTTTTCATTCAGCTCTAGGTTTCTGTTTTTCTGGTGCCCCTATTTCACCCCTTATCACATTCACTCCTTCTTTTTATCTATGTTGAAGGATTGAAAATCTCAGTAGATAAGAAGAAATGGACTTGGTAAACAAACATTCTCAACGCAGTTTATTAGCGGTATTTCAGTTAGGGACGGGCTTCTATACTCATCTCTATTTATATCACTGCTTTGCCCCATGACTATTGGAAAATCTGGAACGTTGGGGAAATTCTCCATTTCCCATATGCGAAGAGAGCCACCAAGACAGGAGTAACCATAAAGTGACCATGGATTGCCGCCTAGGGCCCAGGTGTTAGACAGGGGCTTGGAACCAAACTTGCTGCCTGTCTAGGGCTGTGGGTTGAATAACAGTATAGTGGAGACAACAGCTTTGGACCCATTAACAACACTATCAGCAAGCAGACCTTCTGAAGATGGGGAACACAGACTTTTACCTAATAAACTACATAGGGTTACAGTCTTACAACAATAAATACATTAGTAATTAGCATTTCTAGCAATGCCGAAGTAATGTCAAAGTGTTACTTTGTTTCTAAACAATTCTGCATTTATTTCTTTATTATTGGCATTTATAAAGCGCCAACATGTTCCGCAGCGCTGTACAATTGGAAAAAAGACAAACACAATAAGAATAGACCGATACAGCAGGTAGAGGACCCTGCCCGTAAGCTTACAATCTAAAGGTATCTGTATTTAAAAATAGGTTGTTCTTTTTATTCCAAAGTTATTGTTTGCCATGTAATAAAATGGTTAACCTGCCTGAGCTACTACTAGTACAAATAAATATATAGTGTGTATAATAATGTATATAATATGTGGTAACAGTTTAAAATAAATATATATAAAACAACACAATCCTGTTGAAACCACTATAACAGTGTGTTTACAACTATATAAACACTTGGTAAATTACCTTAAATTACCTTAAAACACAAATGTTGTGAGCGCACATGGCATTTAACTCCTTTTTCCTAGATTACATGCCTTTAGGAACAAGGCCTCTTTGGCAATTTGCGATGTATTTGTTTTGCACACATTCTATTCAGGAGCTCCCATACATAACATATGTTGTATTGTAGGACTTTTCTGATACCCTATATGTAACAACATATTTATCCCTGTTTTGAATCTATTTTGAATAATTGGTTTTAAAACTAGAGTAAATAAAGTAAAATAACTCAAAATAGATTCACTTATTAGTCCTGATTGTTCAAACGCTCAGAATGTCTAGGTTTGAGTTCGTTTGTGGAAGTTATAATACAAATATTGCAAGGAGTGCATTACAGTTTTAAAACAAAATATTTGCATAATTTGATCTGCTGAGACTTTAAAGGGAAACTATAGTGCCAGAAAAACAAAGTTATAGTCCTGGCACTATAGCTCCCTATAGTGCCTCCTCCCTCCACATTTGCTATTTTCACAGATTGACTTATTTGGCGCATGTCCCTTTTGGGACAAAATAACTTCACTTAACCTCATCATGGCGTAATATTTGCAAAAGATGGAAACTTGGGCTCTTTAGTATGGGGGATTTTATGTCTTCTCACAAGGCCAGTTTATCACCAATTTCTGACAAATTTTGAGTTAATTTATTTTATTTTTTCATATAGATATTGCATCTGTAGGGTGAATTTTACATGCCTTGCATATACCTTTGTCAGTTTTTTGGGGAGGAAGTCAATTTAGGATGGATGCTCTGATTTAGACATGCTTTTCTGGATGTTATTTGGTAAGTAACACTGTGTCCACACTAACCAGTATCAACATTGTACACTATTTGTAACCCTAACTAACGCTAACCACATCTAACCATCATCTTATCTAGGAAACACTCACAGTGCAGCATTTTGTCTATTTTTCTCTAAGCTGATTGATAGCTGGAGACAAGTTCCACCCACGCAATGATTGGCTCCTAGAGCACTTGTGCAGCCTGGGGGCCAATCAATCACCCTGCCAAGGCAGCCCAGTAATTGGCTGACTATTTTTTGGGATAACTTTGGCACCCAGGTGTTTGGGGACAGGATTTCCCTTGATGCTAAATGTAATAATAACTGCTAGCTCTATGGGTTTTTGTGGAAGGTTCCGGAATTATTCTCGCAGAATTCCTACATCAAGCAAAAACTGTTAGAAGCTAGAAATTGAACTTCTGTAAGAAAACACACAAACTATAAATACTGTTATCTTTCTCACCTTTGAGTGGTGAGCCACAAATGATATACCATAAACTGATAAACAGAACAAACATTGCATCGGAGTAACTGTCACACCATCTCCCCTGCAGTATTTTCATGTAACAAGATTTCCAGAGAGAGTGCGAGGACGTAGTTGTCTTTGGTGATAACAGGTCATGGCAGAAGATATTTTGGTGCTCAATCGCAGTCCATGAATCTGACGAGAAAATATATACAAATCCCTGAACGTAAATGGGCGGATTAGATACTAATTCAAAGTGAGATCTGAACAAAACAGAATATTCTGTATCTATTCTCATAAAACGTCATAACACACACAATACACAGATTGTCATCTATCGATCGATCCAGCCAAAGGCATTGGTTTTATACCCCTTGCTATTATAGGAGTAGAAAAATCAAGCAATATTGATCCATTGGATTCCCTTTAATAAAATAAGACCACCCACTACGCACGGGTGAGTGGAAGGGGGAATCATTGCACTGTTCTTCTTCTAACTGGTCCCTTGGACCCCATATGAGTTATCCCAGTGCACCCACCATACATTATAATCGTTGGTGCCTAAGTTGAATGTGATGGAGGACTTCATTGTTGCTGGTAATATGTGTCTGCCCTCTATAGTCAGGTGTTGTAGAGACGGTATATTACATTCTTGTCTTGCCTCACTTCCACCCCTTCTCTCTTTCTATGTAGCCATTTTGCCTTTGAGATGTGGCAAATTTTTCTTTCTTCTTATAATAAAGTGACCCTCCGTGGGCCATAACAACTTGATTCAAATGAAGCTGCTGTGGTGCCAGGAGCAGTGGCGTACATACCAGGGTCGCAGGGGTGCGACCCGGTATGTAGCCACAGGGCCAGCCTCTTCCCCTGGGGGGCCCAGGAGCCGACCACCCCAGGGCCCCCGAGGCTGGCCCTGCTGACCCCGGGTGGTCGGTCGGGCAGGCAGGCGGGCGCGCGAGGGAGCACTCAGGGCTTCCTATTCAGCTCCCTCGCGCACCGCACTGATACCGGAGCCGGAAGATGACGTCATCTTCCGGCGCCGGCATCCCTACGCGGCGCGCGAGGGAGCTGAAGAGGAAGCCCTGAGTGCTCCCTCGCGCGCCCGCCTGCCTGCCTGACCGACCACCCGCCCAGGAGCCCCACTGGACCCCAGGGAATCCCCCCAGCACTCCAAAAGGTAAGGAGGCTGGGGGATTACATTTAAAAAAAAAACAACAAAAAAAATCATGTGTTAGAGTGAGTGTTAGTGTGTGTGAGTGTTAGAGTGAGTGTTAGTGTGTGTGAGTGTTAGAGTGAGTGTTAGTGTGTGTGAGTGTTAGAGTGAGTGTTAGTGTGTGTGAGTGTTAGAGTGAGTGTTAGTGTGTGTGAGTGTTAGTGTGAGTGTTAGTGTGTGTGTCTGTTAGTGTGTGTGTGTGTGAGTGTTAGAGTGAGTGTTAGTGTGTGTGAGTGTTAGAGTGAGTGTTAGTGTGTGTGTTACTGTGTGTGTCTTACTGAGTGTGTGTGTTAGTGAGTCTGTTTGATGTCTGTTAGTGAGTGTGTGTTTGTCAATGAGAGTGTATGTTTTGTCAGTGAGTGTGTATGTATGTCTGTCGCTGACTGTGTCTCTGTCAGTAAATGTGTGTGTCTGTTAGCTAGTGTGTATGCGTCTGTAAGTGTGTGTGTGTGTGTGTGTCTTCAGCACTTACCTTTCTCCAGCGCCGGTCTCCCTTGGCGCTGGGGATCCCTCAGCCTCTCGAATCGACGCACGCATTCAAACCGCCCATAGGAAAGCATTACTCAATGCTTTCCTATGGACGTTCAGTGTGCTCCTCTAGCGGCTGTCAGTGAGACAGCCACTAGAGGCTGGATTAACCCTCAGTGAAACATAGCAGTTTCTCTGAAACTGCTATGTTTTCAGCTGCAGGGTTAAAACTAGAGGGACCTGACACCCAGACAACTTCATTGAGCTGATGTGATCTGGGTGTCTGTAGTGGTCCTTTAAAGGACCACTATAGTGCCAGGAAAACATACTCGTTTTCCTGGCACTATAGTGCCCTGAGGGTGCCCCCACCCTCAGGGACCCCCTCCCGCCCGGCTCTGGAAAGGGGTAAAACTTACCTTTTTCCAGCGCTGGGCGGAGAGCTCTCCTCCTCCAATCCTCCTCTTTTCCTCCCCGTCGGCTGTATGCGCACGCGCGGCAAGAGCTGCGCACGCATTCAGCCGGTCACATAGGAAAGCTATCATATTGCTTTCCTATGGACGCTGGCGTGCTGTCACTGTGAAAATCACAATGAAAAGCACGCAAGCGCCTCTAGCGGCTGTCAATGGGACAGCCACTAGAGGAAATAGGGGAAGGCTTAACCCATTGATAAACACAGCAGTTTCTCTGAAACTGCTATGTTTATGAAAAAATGGGTTAACCCTAGCTGGACCTGGCACCCAGACCACTTCATTAAGCTGAAGTGGTCTGGGTGCCTAGAGTGGTCCTTTAAGTGTGTGTGCATCTGCATGCACTGGCGTACATACCGCGGTCGCAGGGGTCGCAGCCCTGTAACCCCTGCGACCAGGTGCCCACCGCCATGTGTTGCGGCCCGGCCCGTGCGCGGGGGGGGGGGACCATGGGTCATGTGTACGCCACTGGACAGGAGATCTCTGGTGCTGGCTTACCTTTAGGGGTTAAACTATTCATTAATGGTTTAACCCCAAGGTTTCCCTTCGGCGCCATGTTGCTCTGCCCCTCCAACATCCACTTTCTGAAAATCTTCAAAATGGAAGCCTTGGACTGCTGCAGACTGGAGCGCTGCTGATTGGCTTAGCGTGGTAAGCTCCCCATTCATAAAAAGCTTGATAATCATATATATGCAAGCTGTTAAAATACACTTCCCATGAAAAAATGCATACTTAAATGTATGTATGTATGTATGTATGTTTTCATTTGGGGCATATCTACTAAAACATAGATTTTATTTTTTTTGTATTTAGGAAGTTTAATATCATTTAGCAAAAGAACAATTCTTACTGCAATAAACAACTCATTTCAAAAGTCTATAACCTAAAAATAGATGTAAATTTCTATATCTAGCCAATCAGAACCTGCTGATAAAAGTCACCTCACACTCCTATAGATTGGTTTAATATATTTATCAACGTACACACCCTCCAAGCTTGTCCAAGGTTTCTGCGCTATCACACCAAAGCACATAGTTCCATATCTCAAGGTCAAACAATCATTATTGCCTTATTGTTTCAGATATCCCGATATCCCTCATGCCAGAGGATAGACTTTCTCTTAGTAAATGGGGCTTATCGACTAAGCAGTGAATTACAGTGAATTGAAAAACAAATTAATTTTAAAAAATGACAATTTTTGCCTCCATCCATTGATGCATTAATAAAGGGATTTTGATCTACATTACTGAGTTGAAGTTTTATACATAGCATATTGCACTACGAGATCCAGTAAAAATACTTCTTCGTTTTTTTTTTCGTGATGACACCAGCTGTGGGTGAAGTTACATGGGGTCAAGCGGCCTGCTCCATTGTGATTCTGCCACCTACAAAGAGTGGCAGAACAGTCACAATATGGAAATTCTGGGGCGTAATATTGCTGCGTATCTAAAGAGTCATTGAAATATTACACTCAGCAGTCAACCTGCGTCCTCTGCATTCAGATACTGCGTATAACATTCTCTGGGAGCCTACCCTCCACCCCACTGCACATTGGTTGGAGGAAGATGTAGGGGCCATTGTACTGTGCCCCTTCCTGCTATAACATTACCCTGACAGGCACGCACAGCACGCCCTGTTTCAGTGTTCTCCCTGAATTATATTAATTATTTTTATTTTGTAGAAGACTCAAGCAATTATGGAATACACATTCATAAAGATTTTTATTAAACGTAAAATGTTACTGTACTTAATATTTATTTTCCCACTAAAATCGAGTAAATTTAACATGGCAATTATTTTTTTTTCTTGTAGCAATAGTGAAGTGTATGCAGTTTTCAAGCTCTTTATTTTCAGGGGATAATGGTCTAGCTACAATTAACGCAAAGCGCAGGTTGGGATCTACATGAAGGCAAGGAGGAGAATTTGATGATGCATAAAGGTAGGTCCTTGTGAATACCTATTAGTATCTCCACTAACCTGGATAAAGAAACGGGTACGGAGTGTTAGCTTTGTTCCACTTGTGGCTCATATGTTGGAGGAAGAAAGAGCCATATATTCTGGGCCCCCCTAGTTAACATTTGTACCGTAAGAAATAAAAATATATATAAAAATATTCTCTGAATGTCATGGGGGGGTGGGGGGGGGAGGATTATGCCTGGTCCTCATTGTAATAATGAAAAAAAGCTACTTTTTATACCTTTGAACCAAGAACACCATTTAGTAAATGGCATCAAAGTTTCTATTATTTTCTGTGAGTATATCCATGCCGGTCAGAAGATATTTTGTTTTTTTCTTGGTGCTGTGGAAGAGATACATCAGTTAATGAATAATATTTAGGAGAAAGTTTGCTGCAATAACAGAGAAAATAGCATTGGACTTTAACTCAAATCCATTTTATTTATTAATTTATTTTGTATTCATGGAAACACCAGGAAAGCTTTTTTTCAGTATCACAAGGATTAAAAGATAATGTTTTCTATTTATATCCACCCCCCCCATGTCATGTGACATCCGGGTATATCATGACACACCTCTTGTGACTTCCTGTTCTGTATTTATTTACTTCCTGGTTTAAAAAGCACCTTCCATGAAGCAATGAAACTGTATCGCTCTGTGGGTAATAAATGTTTATCTATACAATGCATAGGTCTAACAGACGAGAGGAGAACAAATCTTCTACATTGAAATGCTGCCTCCTTTCTTGGGGTAGAAGTCTACCTGCCATTGGTAGACAGATGTTTCGTCTTACCATAACTTATTTAGTATTAATAATAATAATAATGATGTTGACATCTACAGTGTATATGATCAAAACATTCCACAGCAACGTACAGTAACTAAACAAGACAAACATTCAGTTTTAACAAAACATGTTTGACATACAGTAGGTGAAGAGAGCACGGCCCAAATGAGCTCACAGTAAGGACACCGAGGTAAGTATTATGCGTTATCTCTTTCTTTATTTCAGGATACTGTAACTATACAAAGGAAAAAAGTTAACATGTACCCTAGAGGGTTAACCACACTATAACATCTTATCCAATAGGAATGCTCCTTGTACTATAATGTCCCATGTGACCTTCAGTCAATCCTCTTTCTTAATGATGCCGACAAATATCTCCACAAGACCGCAATGTACGACCAACTAGATACGAAGGACAATGACTCCCGGATGATTCCAGAAGGAAACTTAGCGGATAATTTGCAATCCTCTGATTGAACGTGTATTGAACCGATGTGGACTAGTGTGATACCAAATAGGAGGCTGTAAAGAGAGAGAAATAAGTGGTAAAATATGCTCTTGGATATTAAATCTTATCCACAAAGTATCAAGTATCATAACAGTATATCCAATTCGTCAACATTAACGTAAACAGAAATTAATCAACTAGGTGGACAACAACAATACCCTAAAGACTGCATACTTCTTGTGAAAATAATACATATAACCTAGGGAGGGTATAACATACCTATATCGGGTGGGATTTACATCATGAAATTAGTAAAATCTGGTGATTTTATTAAAGGACACGGAGGCTCACATTATGCTCGTTCAAAGCTGTGCAACCAACCATAATGAAAATATTATTAACTGGACGAAAATAGGATTCCCGAAAAGTAGATTCCCGGGACCAATCAGCAGCATGGAGGAGGTCTTCTAGTCTGCAGCCTACGGAGAAAGCTTTAGAAGCCATAGCGCCTCGACAGAGTGTGCTCCATATGTTGAAGTGTCAGACGTCTGACCCAACGAGATAAGGTAATTGTCGAAACCTTTTGATGAGGGCATCATTTGAGGTCAATTTTCAAATAGTCGAAGGACGAGTCCCACCTGCCATAAGGACGTGGAGGACATGCAAACATGATGCCTTGAAGGAGTCGACATATCAAAGATGTTTACCTACTGGAAATCCGTTCCAACCCTGGTAGCCTGCCAAGATGGCTGATCTATATATATTGATTGCACAGTATGCTAGTTCCTGGTCCAAAATGAAGTGAGGAAACTCAAAACATAACTCACAGGTGCAGATATGGGATCCATGTGTTGTTCCATGCACGAACCATTCCATGAGTTCCAGGCCTAGTGATAGGATTTCCTTGTTCCTGTGGCCCAAGCTAATAGCCTGAGATGTCCTTAAAGGAGAAGTGGATGTGGGTTCCCGTTGGGATCCAGCAATAGGTCAGAGAAGACTGTGAACAATCTCTGGTAATCTATGGACATTTCTATGAGTGTAGGGAACCATGGCTGAGCTGTCCAGAACTGGGCTATGAGGATCAAGGCGTTCTGGTAACGGCTGAGATGTAGAAGTGTCCGAGCAATGAGAGAGAAGGGTGGAAAAGCATAATGGCGAGTACTCGGCCATGCTTGCAGGAAGGCATCTACTGCAAGAGCCTCTGCATCTGGTCTTCAGCTGAAAAATCTCAGTAGGTGGGAGTTCAAACGTGATGCGAATAGGTCGATCTCCAGAGGGCCCCAAAGAGACTGCAAACAGAGAAGAAATGGAAGGGTTCAGTCACCAATCACTGGCATCCCGTAAATGTCTGGAGTTCCAATCTGCCACTATGTTGTTGGAGTGAT